TAAATTAGAAGGTTAGAAGAATAACGTATAACGTTTGTAGGTAGTCAATAGTTTTCTCTTTTTCATGTGGCAGAATAGAGGTTAGTCTTAGATACATGTTTTGTTGTCAATATTCTCTTTTCTTAATATTTTCATTAGAACTTTTTTTGCTCTTGTATTTTTTTAAATTTGTTTAAAATATATTTTTTTTAGTAGAGAATTTATTAAAAATAATTTTACTTTATCTTACAAAAAATAAGGATAAAATTATATAGACTCTACTTTTTAAAATTTCACTTATGAAATTACGTTAGATATGTTATTATTGAATAATAGATTCATTATGAATGCCTTTTGTAATTTCTTGATCATGTAAAATTAATTTTCTTAAAAAATAAAGATCACTAAATCACAAGATAAAGAAGGCTGGCTTGGAACATTCCGCATCACAATTATTCCATTCCTTTTTATTTTACTCATTCTTTTACATTTTTTCCCTTTTTAGTTCATTTTAGAAAAAAAATGTTTTTTTAATTTTAATTTTTTCACATGACATATTAAAATCGTAAGATTAAATTTTAGTACATTTTACATAATTTTTAGACATAAGATTTAATAATCTTCTTTATTTTAAAAAATTCTATAGCAAATCAAAAGCAGGCAAATTAACAAATTGAAACGAAGAAACTACAATTTATCAAATATTAAATGATTTGACCCTTGTGTTTTAAATTTCATCCTTAAGGATAAGGTATAAAATATCACAAAAACTAATCACAAAATTTTATTTTCGAAATTTGTATTTTTTTATTTTTTTTATGGAAAGTGCTTATATAAAACGACATTTGTGGCCAATGTTTAAATGCTGATAAAAATAAACAAATCAATATGAACTTAGTTTAAAAAAAGACCTATAATCCTCTTTATTGTCTAAGGACAAGATGCATATGAAATTAGTAACCAGAAAAAAAGAAGTAAATATTATAAATATAAATTAGTAACCAAAATGTTCAAAAGTTTCTAGTGAATGAAACTTTTTAGTAGTTGCATTATGTAAATCTAAGGAACAAAAGTATTTAATGCAATAAATTTGGTTTTTATTTTTTCAACCACTTATTTTATTTGTAAATGTAATGAGAGGGGTATTTTGTTTTTGCTTCTTTCATTGTTTCATATGCATAATTTCCACATGCATTGGAGCCCAAGAAAATATATTGTCGGTGCAGACCAATTATTTGACTCTTTTTTACTATATATATATAGGTTGAGTGAATGTGTCGGGGCTTAAATAATGAAGCGAATAGTGTAATTTTAGCTATCAGATTTCGTCTTTTGATCCTAAACTTAGGTTGGAATGAGAGTTTGAAAATTTAATGTCAAGTTGAATATGAATAAAAGAATGCAATCTTAACAAAAGATCGATCTGCGTCTTTGAGGTCACTGATGATGCAAAATGAATTAATTCACTACTAGTTTTTCAGATAAACATCAATTTTCCTTGAAATTAAATTTGACTCTAACTTATAATTTCTGTAAATTATGATTAACAATTAAAATGTAAATTTATATTCTCTCCATCACACTTAACTTCCACTAAAAGCAATCTATAGCTATTGATGTGTCTAATGAAAAAAAGTAATAATTAATGTGTTTAATAAAAGCAAACTATCGTTAAGAATTATTTATGATCATATACTATTAACATAAGTAAAATGATTTTGGTATTTCAATCATTCTATTTTACTTGTCATTATTACTATAAATAATTGATCCAACATATTTACCACTATTTAATATGATACAAAAAATGTAATATCAAATTAAGATTAAAAATAGATAAAAATAATTTAATAAAAATAATACTTTAATTAATATTTTTCTTAATAAGAATACGTAAAAGATAAGTATAACAATTAAATTAAATCAGAGAAATTTGCCACATATAATTACTGAAAACAACGAGATATGGGAGTCACATAAGAAAATGACAAACAAAACTCGAACAATAATATTCTTTTTAAGTTGGTAATTCATCTTATTTTGTCCTCTACACGTCACCTCTTACAGAAAAAATACAAAAATAAGAATTAGTGATATTTAATATGCTCAAAGTCCCCTGTTCATAATTTCTTGTCATTATTTTTAATACTTTTATTAAAAATAATAAGCCAAAATGATGGTAATTTATATTTAACCATTTGTATAACAAATCTAGCTATTTGATTTATCCAAATTTAGGTAGAATAGATTCATTAAAAGAGTAAATCACTCTCTATAAAAATATATTTACGTAAAATATTTTTTGTTTACTGAGTTACTTATAATTTTTTATTTTTTTGAAATCTCATCTTTCATTATTGGTGGAGGAATTAAATGATGAATTAGATAAAGAAAGAGAGGTTTTAGTGGTAGATTATCTAATGAAATCGTCATCAAAATTAAGATCTTATTCATTTTATCATTTTATAATTTACAACTTAATAATTAAAGTTCATTTAGGAGATAAAAATACAGAAATTTATTCAATATTTTTATTAGAATTCTAACTTCTGTAAATTTTGTATTGCATAATACATGAATAAACAACTTAATTTTAAGACCCCTCTTCTCCAAGTTCCAGTGGGGGAATTAAGAATTCTCAATTAATTTAAATTTGTATCACATAACATAATATATAATGAAAAATTTAACTTTGGATTCCGCACTCGGCATAGGTGGAGGAATGATCAATCGAAAAAAAAAAGAGAATTTCTAATTGTAGATTATCTAATGAAACTATTGCAAAAAATGATTTTTTCTTCATCTTGTCATTTAATAATTCACGATCAGATTTTAGTAATTTGCAATTTGACAATTTAAATTTATTAAATGAATAAAAATGAAAATGTTTATTCGGTATCCATATAGAACCCCAACTAATTGAAATTTGCATCTCATGACATAATACATAAAATGGACAACTTAACTTTGGAATCCTGCCCTCAACGTCGATGGAGGAATTGAATCGGAAAATGAAGAAGAGAGATTTTAGTTACGGGAAAGGGTCAAAATTGCCTCTGAACTAAGCGAAATAGACCACTTATACCCTCCATTACATTTTGGGATAAAAAATACCCCCGCAGTTATCCCAAGAGACCACAAATACCCTCAAGAGTTAACACCCCAATTTTTTAGTGACGTGGCAAGCCACATGGGACTAATCCCTCCACTTAAGCATTGCCAACTAAGATTCACTACAAAAGAACTTGACTTTTAGTGGCGACAAAGTCGCCACAAAATCCCAAAATATTGCCACTAAAGGTTATGAGTGATTTTTAGTGGCGACTAAGGCTCCAACAACCATTCCTTAGTAAAACCTATTTTTTCAACCAAAAAATATGATAATTAATTTTCGATTGCGACCTAATTTTCTAAAATAAATAACTTGCAATATCCATATTAAAAACATCCACTATTATTACGAAAAATAATCAAAATTACTTCTCGATTCAAATCTCCTACTATATATATATATAATCCATCATTGTACATTTTATACATTTACATATGACATAAAAATAAAACATATAGTGTCTTCAAACTCCTACTTAATCGATATCATATTTGATTTTTTAAAAACAATGAAGAAAAAAACACAAAATTAGAATTTAATGTTGAAAACTTTTAGTGACGATTTTCTGGGCTTTTGTGGCGACTGTTGTTGCCGCTAAAGGTCTAGTTCTTTTGTAGTGAATCCTAGTTGGCAACGCTTAGGTGGAAGGATTAGTCCCACGTGGTTTGCCACGTCAACAAAAATTTGGGGTGTTAACTCTTGAGGGTATTTGTGGTCTCTTAGGAAAACAGCAGGGGCATTTTTATCCCAAAATGTAACGAAGGGTATAAATGATCTACTTCATATAGTTCGGGGGCAATTTTGACCCTTTTCCGTTTTAGTTATAGATACCTAATGAAACCGTCGTCGAAATCGAGATTTTATTTATCTTATCATTTAATAATTTATAATCAGATTTATATAATTCGTAACTGGGCAATTTAATATTTATTTAATAAATGCAAATGAAAAATATATTTGATGTCCATATATAATTTTTCGACCAGAGATCTATGAATCATGGACGACATCTCCCCATGACCTTGCGTCTCTGAAAGTGTCCTTCCTTAATGACCGGGAATCCATTCTAACCCTAATTAATTTAAATCTGTGTCACGTAACATAATACATAAACCGACAACTTAGCTCCCCCACACCCTACCCCCTACTTGAAAAAGTTTATTCGATATTACATATAGAACCCCAATTAATTTAAATCTGCACAGTGTAACATAATACATAAATGTATAACTCAACTTGAAATTCTGCCCTAAACAACGATGGATGAATTGAATCAAAAATAAAAAGAGAGATGTGGATATCGAATGAAACCGTCATCAAAATTCAGATCTTATTCATTTTTACCATTAATAACACATTATCAAATCTAAGCAATTTACAACTTGACAATTTAAATGAAAAAAATATTCGATATTTATATACGACTTTCTGATCGGAAGTACATGCATCATAAACGTATCTCCCCATGAACTTTCACCTCCAAAAGTATCTATCCTTCTTAATATCCCAACATCCATCCAAACCCTAATTAATTTACATTCACATCACGTAATCTAATACACCAAAACAACTCAACTCCCCTCCCCCCCCTAACCCCAACCCCAACCCCAACTTGACGACTCACCTATTGCAACAAACACACAAAAGCATAAGTCAAGCACTTGCACTCCACAATTTAGCTTTTTTTTTTTTTTTTTACTTCTATTCCCCTTTTTGTATTTACCAAACAAAAACAAATTTCTTATTTTCCTTCCTTTATTCTCTCCCATCCTTTTTTCTTGTCTACCTAGATTTTCTCTTTCTACCAAAAAAATAAAATAAAATAAAATAAAATAAATTCATCAAAAATATTCTTCAAAGATTAGACCAATGACCACCCAATACCCATCACTCTATACATTTCTTGTCTATAAAACTTTTTTTCCCTTTTTTTTTCTCCCCTAAATTTAGGTCAATTCTCCTTCTTGAATTCCCTGTTGTTTCTTTCTTCTTCCCTTTAAATTTCCCAGAAAAATCTTCATCCTTTGATTCAGCTTTTTTTATTATATTTTCTTGAATTTTGGCTCTAATTTCTCAATTTTCTGTTGAAAAATTGCATATTTAAGGAGATTTAGCACATGGGTCTTCAAAAATTTCTACTTTTTTTGCTCAGATTATTGGTTTGATTGATTCTTGCTGAGGTTTGAGCAGCTCGGGTTGTTTGAGAATTTTCATTTTCTTCCTAGCTGAAAATTTTTGGTAGCGAAATGGCAGCTGGTCCAATTGAGTCAACAGTGGTTGTGGTGGTGGAGGAGTCGTCTCGTCGTTTTGGAGATCTGAGAGGTGTCCAGTGGCGTATTGATTTGGGGATTTTGCCTTCTTCTCCATCTTCAACCATTGATGATCTTCGTCGTGTTACCGCTAACTCACGTAGAAGGTATAGAATCTGCTTTGTTTTTTTTACCCTTTTGGGATTGTTATGTTTGTTTCTGTTGGTTTTCTTGTTTGTTGTGATAAAAAGATGGAAACTTTACATTTTCTGTTGATTTGTGAAAAAACTAGAAAACCCAACTTGAGATATGATGTAAATAGAGACTATACAATTGTGTTGATGATGGTGATGATGTGTGGAGATGTTTGATGGTAAAGAATAGTATGTTGCTAGCAGTTGACTAATTTGATTATCTATTTATATAAACACAATTGTATTTTCTTGCAAATGCTTTTGAGATTTTCTCAGATTTTGGAAAAAAGAAAAACACATCATTAACATAATTGTTGTGTTGAGATGATCTGTTTACTTGCTTGTTTGATGCTAAAGAATAATATGATTCTAGCAGTTGACTGATTGGATTATCTTTTTTGTCATTCTTTTCTTGTCAGTTTTGTGCAGAGTTGTTGTTCTGAAGTTTATTTACATGGAAGCTCTTCTTTCCCAAGTCTAGATTTGGGATTGTAGGTTTTAGAGGCTGTTAGTTTCTCAAATCTTGTGTCGAACACCTATAGAAAATTAAGGATTGAAAGCTTGTTCTTGATTGTTTGAATGCTCAGCAACTACCGCAGCTGGATTTTCCAGATTTCTAGATATATGATGTACACATACACTCATTTTAATATCTTAAGCTCATTTATGAGTAAAAAAATGTTGCATCTCATCAACATGTTTTTCCTGAAATAGTAACAATGTAGATTGAATGTACTGATATAAAAATGTTATTGGTGCATTGCTCAATTTGATTGTACTGTTTCTTTTCAAAATTTTGTGATGATCCAAATTCCAGCGTGTTAGTTTCTTTTAATTTCTATGTCCTCAATATGATAATGAGGTTTGTAATGTATAATGTTTTTGTGTAACGTATTTTTGGTTGTGTAGGTATGCTTCTTTGAGAAGACACCTTCTTATTGATCCACATGTGCCTAAAGATGGAAGTAATTCTCCTGATCCTGTCATAGACAATCCACTGTCGCAAAACCCTGGTAGGATATTTGCATCATTTGTTCATTTTTCTTCTCTTTTAGCAAGTGCAATGCTGAAAATTGTTCAAACTTCACAACACCTTCAAACATTTGAAACTTTTTCAAGATTCTCTTTTGATGAAGAGTTAAGACCATCCTGAAAAACTTCATAAAAAAAAAGACCATCCAGAAGAAATGATTATTGTGTCCTGCTCTAGAAAAGTATAGTTTCATTTTACTCGATCTTAGTTAGTAATTATTTATCAGTTCTTGTATTTCCACTTTGCATTAGAAAGTACTTGGAGAAACTGTAGCTTGCGGTTGAGTAAATGCTAATGGTGGTGTTGTAATGCAGATAGCATGTGGGGTCGCTTCTTCAGGAATGCTGAACTGGAGAAGATGGTTGACCAGGATCTTTCGCGTTTATATCCTGAGCACGGTAGCTATTTCCAGACTGCTGGATGCCAAGCCATGTTGAGGAGGATTCTGCTACTTTGGTGCCTTAGACATCCAGAGTATGGTTACAGACAAGGTAAAAACATTACATTGTCAAACTTATTATGTGCTACTGCTTACTGTTGAAGGGGAATAAGGCCTTTACTAGTCTGTGGCATCTCGCATGAGATACTTTTTCAGTTCTTAAATAGTTAATCAAGATGTAAGTTCTTCAAGCTTAGAAATCAAAGAGCAGGCATTCATACCTACCCTGCCCGTCCTTTTCATAACAAATGACATGCATCTATAATGTAAGCTTAGGCTCGCCCATGTTCAATTGTATCAAGATAATTTCTGCGAACCTATTAATTGTTCACATGCTCTATAGCTGCCTTCAAGTTTGCAGTTTGTATATCATTTTTTTTTGATAACCATGGTGTCCGGGCCAGCTTGTGCGCACCTCAACTAATTCAATTGTATGCCTGCCACCTCCCACCAACAACATGCACTAGGGAACTCTATCCACCAAAGCTAGGACAAATGGGAAGAAATCACCTAGAACCTGTTACTTCATGGTTTTCGCCCACTTCATTGTTCATTGACCACTAGGCCACACCCTTGGGTGCTTGTGTAGCGGCTTATGACGTCCAAATAGCTCATTTACTCTTGATTTCATCACTCTGTGCTGTCATACCCTCCTTTTTTGGGTCCTGTACTTTCTGATCTTGAATTTATCATGTAACCTAGTGCCTTAATTGCTAACCGTCTATCATGTCTGTCTTCTCATTATTAATGGAGGAACTTTCTGCTTCTCTGTTTGCAGGAATGCATGAACTATTGGCCCCACTTCTTTATGTTCTTCAAGCTGATATGGAGCATCTTTCTGAAGTGAGGAATCTGCACGAGGATCATTTTGCTGACAAATTTGATGGATTCTCATTTCATCAAAATGATTTGACATATAAGTTTGATTTTAAAAAGTTTTCGGAATCTACGGAAGATGACATTGGATCTGAGAAGAGTCCAGGGAGAATTACTAGTTTAACTGAACTTGATCCAAAGGTTCAAGCAGTTATTTTATTTAGTGATGCATATGGTGCTGAAGGTGAGCTTGGTATTCTTCTATCTGAGAAGTTCATGGAGCACGACGCTTATTGTATGTTTGACGCTCTGATGAGTGGAGCTGGTGGTGCTGTTTCTATGGCACAATTTTTCTCTCCTGCACCATATGGTACTTCACATACTGGATATCCCCCTGTTATTGAAGCCTCGGCAGCATTATACCATTTGCTTTCACTGGTTGATTCCTCCCTCCACAGTCATCTTGTTGAGCTAGGAGTTGAACCGCAGTATTTCGCACTTCGCTGGTTACGAGTACTATTTGGACGTGAATTTGCACTCGAAGACTTATTGATAATCTGGGATGAAATATTTGCGTGCGATAACAAGAAGTTGGGAAAACCTTGTGAAAATGATGGTGACTCCAGCTCTGGAGTCTTAAATTCATCCAGGGGAGCATTTATATCAGCTTTTGCTGTTACTATGATACTTCATTTGAGGTCTTCGTTGCTTGCGACGGAGAATGCTACTAAGTGCCTCCAGAGATTGCTAAATTTTCCAGAAGATATAAATCTGGGAAAACTGATAGCCAAGGCAAAATCATTGCAGGCTCTGGCAGTGGATGCCAACAGTTCAGCCCCAGTAATTGATTATACTGGAGACTATGGTAGAAGTCAGTCAACGGTTATAAGAGGTCACAGCCATTCAGTTGATTTAGGTTCCCCAAGAACTCCACTTGGCTCCTTAGTACCTGAAAGCTACTGGGAAGAAAAGTGGAGAGTTTTACACAAGGAAGAAGAGAGCAAGAAAAATAGTGCTGAGAAACAAGTTCCAACCCGAAGAAAAGGTTGGTCTGAGAAAGTGAAAATGCGTCTTACCAGAACTGAGTCTGATCCAACCCCATCTGCAGTTGATAATGGAAGAAAAGTTTCCAAATCATCAGTGAGGAGAAGTTTGTTGAAAGATCTTGCTCAGCAGCTTGGCGCCGATGAAGACGCAGAAAAGCTCATTGATGATGAAATTAAGGAGCAAGAAGTTCCAGTTGACATTGTCGGGCAAGAAGATAATGATGGAAATTTTACTTGCACATCTGAACAGTCGGACTCCACTGGAAGTGCCGCTAGTGAACAGAATTCTTCTATCTTCTCAGATCCCCAAAGTCCTATTAGTGATGCAAATGATCATGGAAATAGATCTGAAAGAAGTAGTGTTGCATCAAATTTCTCTGCCGATGAAAATGATGCTGATGGCTATAGTGCTGAGGTATCTTGTACTAATCTGGAAGTTCCACCTCTCCCTAGTTCTGATCCCCCTCAGGAGACCTCGGTAAAATCTGAACAAAGTGTTGACTCTGGGGGAAAAGGTCCAGCTGGCTTGAAGGAGCGGAAACTTCTATCTGGTAAATTTCAGTGGTTATGGAAATTTGGACGAAATGGTGGGGAAGGGACATCCGAAAAAGGGGTCTGTGATTCCACAAAGGCTGACAATTGTGGGAATAATCCCGATGATCCTGCTGTATTGTCCACCGCTGATACATCTAATAACAGTGGAATTAGCAAAGGAGAATCTGTAGACCAGAATTTAATGGTTAGTCTGAGAAATCTCGGACAGTCTATGCTTGAGAACATCCAGGTAAAGACTAATATCTTGCTTAACTTGTGTACGTTGTTTGATTTTTATGATTTTGAAAGTAGCCATTGTGGACATAACTTTGTCATCCTATTTTGCACCCTCAACTTACTGAAGGCAAAGATACTATGCATCCATTTGTTACACAATGTGATACAAAGTATCCATTTGATTTCCGTCATTTCGATCACATGCAATATCAGCAGTCTGTTTATGGTATATACACAATGTGATACAATTCACTCATCATTAATCACTCATCATTTGTGCAGGTGATTGAATCAGTCTTTCAGCAAGATCGTGGTCAAGTTGGAACCTTAGAAAACCTTTCGAAAAATGTTCTAGCTGGTAAAGGACAAGTAACAGCCATGGCAGCTCTCAAAGAGCTTCGGAAAATCAGTAACATCCTCTCGGAGATGTAAGGAGACATAGAGTTCGTTAAGTATGTACATAGGTCTAGTAATTTAAAATGTTTCAATTGCAGAATAATCAAAGTCTTATTCGGCTTCTCATATCTCAACTGTGAGCGATTCAAAATTTTGATATGTATCCAGGATCTTATATGTAAATACAAAATCACCTTCATGTATCATTTTTCATTTATGAAATGTAGCAGTAGATGATATTTCTGTCCAGGCAAGTTGCTTTACAAGTACAAGCAACGAGGTAACTGAGTCTGATAAGTTAATGGTTAGCGTAAACTAGCCAACTTATAACAATTCTTTTGATCTGGAACCAAAGGATTTTGTACCGTAGGTCTCGAATTGTTTGAGATTGAGGCATAATTGATTAAAATTACACTAAAATGGGGGAACATGTTACATGCTTTCTGCCTTATCATAACCAATTAGTTGAGTCTAATAGATGTATTAATGGTAAAAGCTACCCTTAACGAGAGATCTCAAGTTCGACCCCTAGTCCAGCCTCTTCAACCATCCATGAAGCTTGTTTTGGTACAATGTCCTACATTTGTCTCTCTTTACATCGACAGTCAACAATCAAAGTAAAGAAATTCTTCACATTGGGATAAAGATTTATATTTCTATACCAGTAAAGATACACTTATACATTTGCTTCAGTGCATCTAAGATACAATATGAGGCACAAAATGTGACATAGTACTGATTGACAACCTTTATAAAGAGTGAATATCCAAGCAGCTAATATTGGTTTTTCATTGTTGTTTTCATACCTCAATACCGAGCTTTAGCTAGTTTCTTCTGTTGCTTGGCACGTTCAACAGATTCTTGGATCTGTCGGTCATGCTCTCTAATTATTCTATCCACATCGATTGGTTTTGATGCAGATGGAAGTGGACCAAAATATTGATCGTCTTCCACCAAGTCAAGGCCATCTGATTCATGCATTTTATCTGATGGAACAGGTAATGGACCTGACCACTTTTTCTTTCCTTTGATATCATGAATTGGTTCTTTCCTTATCTCTCTCTGAGTATAATTCTCTGAGCCCTCTTTTCTGCTGGACACCTGAAAAAATGTAGAAGAGTTTGTTCCTTCATTTATAACACCTCCTGAGACATATTCATTTGTTTTTTCAAGCCTATTCCAGGTTTCTGAATGGGCAATGAGTTGTCTTCTGTCTATGTTACTCTTTAATTCTGCATTAGCTTCAGGTGCTGGAACTGCCCTTACACTTTTATCTCGTGCATAACTCCGGACCCTACTCCCCTCAATTTCAGTCTTTTTTGCATTGATCTCTTTGCTGGGGGGGCATTGTGGCAAACTTGAGGGATCACAAGCAAATGGTTCTGTTGTGAAAAACTCATTCTGAAGAGCAAGAGCTGCAGTCCCTCTATATTCAGCTCTTATGGAAAGTAAGGTGTCCATTAGTCCTACAGCAGCTGCAGGAAGATCATGAAAGGTCGTGTGAAGAATCCGTCTATAAGGCTCTATTGGCTTCAACATCTCTGCATTGGGCAATTTAATTTTTTGCCAAAAATCATCAGATGGAGAACCACAGAGCTTGAAGATTTTATGCAGTTGCTCAACTTCAGTTCTACCAGGCATAATAGGCTTGCCAGTAAATAGTTCACCAAGTACACAACCAACACCCCATAAATCAACTCCAACTCCATAATAATTTGATCCAAGCAAAAGTTCCGGTGGCCTATAGAAGAGAGTTACAATCCGGCTAGTTAAGGGGATGCTTTGTTCTGGATCAAAAAATGTTGACAGCCCAAAATCTGCAATTTTCAAGATACCATCTTTATTAACTAACAGGTTAGAAGTCTTTACATCTCGATGCAAGATACCACGGCTATGGCAGTGATCAAGCCCTTTAAGCAGCTGGTTCATGTAACATTTGATTTCAGGTTCAGAAAATTTGACACCTTCTTGTTCTTGAATTGCGTTGAGATCATATTCCATGCAATCAAAAACAAGGTACAAACTACAGGACATTTTTGAGGTGACTACACCTTCCAATTTGATAACATTCGGGTGATCACCAAGCCTTCTCAATAGAATGATCTCTCTTGCCATAAACTTGACACTCTCAGGATCAAGATTGTCAAAGCGAACTTTCTTCAGAGCAACAACCTTATTGAGCAAAAGATCGCGACCCTTGTAGACATTACTGTAAGTTCCCTGACCAATTTTATCTAGTTTCTCAAATGTATCAGCTCTTCTTGGAAGCCATCCATTTAAAGTATCACCTGCAACTGAAACAAGCCAGTTAGGCCATCCAGCAACAACTAGTTCACCTTCTATCCCTTTTGGTACTCCTCTGCTGAGTCTTGGATTCAGTTTCCATCTCCTGGTGTGAAGGATTTCTTCCTTCTCTTCTGCCACACATATCTCAACTACATCTGAGGATACCGTTCCTTCAACTGATCGATTCCTGATAGTTGAAGATTTTCCATGACTGGAACCCATAGTTTTCCAAATGAAAAGCAATTTAAGTCTTGTTTTACAACACAAACTAATTCCTCTTTCTTAAAGCTTTGGTTACATACCAAGAAAACAAAACATATTTAGAAACAATTATGTGAACTCAAATCACAAATCAAAGGAGTTGACTTCATAAAAGCAATAATAGTTGTAAACAAAGACTTGGTCCCCTACAAAAGCAATTTCCTAGAAACTCAGTTTTGTTTTTGTATAGGGACTTCATAGATGAGTAGATTTAAGATCCACTGTAGTTGGTACCGCAGAAAATATTTTTCGAAAAATTAATTATTTTCTGAATGCTATTTTCTTGAAAAATGATTTCCAATATTAAGTTGGTCAGTAGAATTTCTTTTTGAAAAATATCTATATTAAGTTGGGCTTATTTTCTCTTAAATTCTCTCCTCTCCTTCATCTTCGACACCAAGGTGTGTTCCTCCCACTTATATTTCAGTCATGGATAGTCTATGAATACATGTTTTCCCATATAATTAGTATCTTTGTATAGGTATATTTCATGAACTCTCAGAATATAGAAATTCATGCCTTTGGACTTGTGCTATTTATTTGCATATTCCGTTCATAATATATAAATTGTCATGGTTAGTTGTACTTTTTGGAGTGGTGGGTTATGAATATCCGATCCCCTAGTATTTGTAATGACCCTAAAGGTCATTTTTTGGAAATTTTCATAAAATGACCGTTTTACCCCTAATTGCCCCTAGTCCTAATTGTTGTATTTTCGAAGTTGGTTTGAAGGAAAATTGATGAAACGTTGAGTTTTTAAGAGTTAAAATTTGGTTAAAAGTGCTATTTCGAGTCATTTGGAGTTTCGAGACTCGAATCGGATTTCCGTCGATTCCAGTAGTTTTAGAATGTCGAAACGGGTCTATGAGAATTTACGGAGTCGAATTTGGAGTTAAAACGAAGATTTGAGGTCCTAAGTTGCTAAAATTGTGAAATTTTGATCAAGAGTTGACTTTGGTCAACAAACGAGGTTCCGGTGCTCGAAATGGAATTCCGAGGGCACCGTTGGATTCAGGGGGTGATTCTAAGTCTAGAATGAGTCTTGGTTGAATTTTTAGAGGCCCCGAGTGCATTTCGAGTTTTTGAGCCTAAAGTTAGTTTCTTGACGCCATATCGAATACCGGGTCAAGGAGACCTCGAATTCAAATTCCGACGATTTCATTGAGTCCAAAATGTCATTTTCAAGCTAGTAGCTTATTTGGTTTGTGTTCGGGAAGTGCCAAATGAGTTTTGGGTGATCTTTTAAGCTTCTTGGATGCTTTGACACTATTTCAGCAAATTGTGGCAACTAAAGGATTCATTATTAGTTTTAAAGGTCGAAAAATTATTCCGAAGGTTCTGAAACTGTGAGCATGAGTTATAATCTGCAAATTTTGGTGCATTTTCGCTAACCCGAGATTGGACTTTTATCGCAAATAAGAAATAATTGTTTACCGAGTATAAATGATATTTGACTGGGCAAATGAGCATGAAATTGAGCTCCGATTGAACGAGCAGGTCCGTATCATTATTTAAGACATTTACAAAAAAAGAATCGGGTCATTTCACTATCGTATGAGGAAACTATGGCCTTTTTAGTGAAAGATTAATTGCTGTTTTTCTGGTGCATAACAGCCATGTACTGTTATGAAAATCTCAGACTGTGTTCATTTGGTATTTTGAGCATATCGGGAGTTCTAGAGATCAGAATGGAGTGATTCTTACGGGTTTCTTCTTGAATTAATATGAGGGTTAGTATTCAATCTTCAATTCGACATTTTCTCATAATTTCTTTATCTGGTTTTTTTTCCATATCCGTAAACCTCTTGGGAAAAATTGAGGTTTTATCGATTTGGACTCCATTTTTGATGAAAAAGGTATATTTACGATCCTTATGTTATGGGTAAACTGATTTTAACATAAAATTATTGATTCATCGATTATTTTCATCATATTAACCGCGTACAATTTGGACTTTCCCGGTAAAGTTAAAGTTTGATAAATTGAGAATTTCAAGGTCGATCTTAACTCCGTTTTTGATGAAATTTCATATTTGAACTTATCTAAGCATGGGTAAGATGTTTTTCAAGAGATATTTCATTTTTGAGTCGGGGTTTCGGATCTGAATATTTTAGGCTTCTTCAAGAACGTGGATTTTCGTTCAAATTGAGTTTGTGAATTGATTTCAACTCCGTTTTCAAATTGGTTTTCACCATTAGCTTCCAAATACTTTAAGGATCATTTTACATCAAAAATTCTAGATTTGGGTATCGTTTTTCGGTATGAGACTTTTGGACCGTTTTGCCCTTTTTCCCTAAATTTCTAGATTTTGGTGTCATTGGACTCGAATTGTGATTGTGAATAATTGTTTGAATAGATTATCGTGATCCGGATTATACTCGGAAAGGAAAGGCTCAAGTCAAGTAACTTTTGGAGTTCGTTTTAAGGCAAGTGACTTCCAAACTTTGTAAAACTCTTAGACTACGCATGACTACTTTCCTAATTGTGTTGGGGAATAATGGGGATTGAGGATGAGTTTTATTTGTTGATTGAAATTGTTGTAAATGAAAGATGGGGAATAAAACGAGCTAAATGTGTTATATGTGACTTGAATTTGTTGAATAAGTCATGTGATAACTGATATTGAGGGGATAGAAGAACATGAGTAGGTTATGATTGATACATACATTGATGTTGAGACAGATGATGTGTAATACTATGATGTGGTCGTAATATGGTTGTGATTGAGACATGTGATGTGTAATACTATGATGTGGTCGTGATATGGTTGTGATTGAGACAAGTGATGTGTAATACTATGATGTGGTCGTGATATGGTTGTGATTGAGACAGATGATGTGTAATACTATGATGTGATCGTGATATGATTGTGATTGATGACATGTGCATATTCATTTTTCATCCCATGTGTGAACTATCTGTTGCATGAGTTCTGAGACATTGATATGAGGATGGATGGATATGAGACACAGTTGAGACTAGCTCCGGCTAGAGATATATGAAATGGACTAGCTCCGGCTAGCGATTTGGATGCCGATGGGATCTAGTTTCGGCGGTGATACATGGTCCATGTGTGGCCCCCATGAGTTCTGATTTGAGTATTCAACGCGGACTGATTACGTCAATAGATGTGTATCGTAGGACAGACATGCATCACAACTACTTGACATCATTATTGCATTTTGCATCGCATTTGCCTTATCTTTGTCTGTGATGTGTGGATTGTATCGGTTTACCCTTCTTATGTGGAATTTGATCTACTTGCTCTTATTTGTTGATCTGAGGTTGATGAGGATATACTGTTGGTTCTGACTGTTGAATATGATCTGTTTAGTATAGGTTGGTTGGTTTGCTGCTAGATTGAAGTTTCGGTGGTTCGATTGGGATTGAAAGGAGTTGTTTGTAGTTGCTAGTTTTGCTTAGTTTAGAGTTACTTGCGAGTACCTGTGGTTTTCGGTACTCACCCTTGCTTCTACACAATTGTGTAGGTTGACAGCTCTCTCTCAGATTCGGCTTAGTAGTTTCTTTAGCAGATTGAGCTTCGGGACATATTCGAGAGGTAGCGGTTCATTCCAGACGTGCCCTTGAGTTATCTTTACTTTCAGTTTTGTTCTATTCGAGAACTATACTCTGAGACTTGTATATTTTTATTCGAATTATGTATTTAGAGGTTTATACATGTGACAACCAAATTCTGGGTAGTGTTGAGTCTTAATTAAAGTCTTCCGCTTATTTATTATCTTTTATTCTCGTATTTATACTTCTCTATCGTTGTGGTTTGGTTAGGCTGATGTGTCCGGTGGGAAATGGACACGTGCCATCACATCCGGATTTGGGGGGGGGTGACAAAATGGTATCAGAGCCCCAGGTTCATAGGTTTCACGTGTACAAGCCAAGTCTAAGTAGCGTCTCGAGGATTGGTACGGAGACGTCTGTACTTATCTTCGAGAGGCTATGGTGACTTTTAGGAAAGATCTTTATCACTTGATTCTCTCTCATGCGTCCTTGGTCTGATCTAATTCTTATCACTTCACTCTGTTCTCTCTCTCATTGTAATGACTCATGGTTGGTCCTGCGTGGGTGCGAGTTTAGGTGTCATCGCGTGATTTTAGTGTTAGATCTGGTTTTGATGCGGAGGTGATAGGCTTGTGTAAAGGAAGTGTGATCAGACATGGAATTCTCTTCGAGACGAGTGAGTAAGGTTGTGGCCAAGGGATATGTTTTGAGTTTATGGTATTGGAAGATGAACATTTATTAAGAGACTTCAGGAACGTCTTATTTCTCTGGTCATTTATTCAACAACGAGAATAGTGCTTGTGTGACTTATATGACGGAAGTGGCTAGACAATGAAGAATTGTGTAAGTAAGAGAATGACTATGTTGAGAGTGCTGCGACTTTGGAAACTATAGTTTGTGAAGTTCGTCATAAGGGAATGGATTGCGTAGTATATTATGATGATGAAGTTGCACCAACCAAAATCAGAAGTTCTACGGTGGTTTTATAGTGTGGGTGCGTATCATTACGGGGTCATTGTACCGCGACTACGACGGTACTCGTGTTATCTTGGTTAGGGTTATGGGCTATGTTGTTTCTGCCATCGATCGGGCTTACGAAATTATGCATATCATTTTCGGTCGGAGACTGAAGTGCTTTGGTAATGTTTTGCAACTATTTAATGAGTGTAAATGAACAGGTTGTTTGAGTACGACCTTCTCAATGGATCTGATGTCTTCTAGTGGTGGATTTAGCGGTTGTTCATGATGTGGTACTAGTGATATATGAAGGCGG